CGGTTTCCTTCTTCGAAGACAGATAAATAGGAACAACCCGCATGGACCCACAAGGGAGCTATATCGGTGTAAGAATGAATAATAATAATAATCAATCAAGCGTCAATTGGCCGCACTCCACTGGGCTCGAAAGTCGCCGCAAACGAAAATGGGTGCATTTGCACAACAATGCCACGTGTGGTACATTTATCCTCCGTGGATTGGTCGAGACGTGGGTCTGATAAGTTAAAACGCGCTTGTCGGGTGGTCTTGTTCAAGTCGCATTTCATTTGACGGACAGAGCAACCAATTCACCAGGATAGAAGCTTCGGAGCTGTGCTAGTGGCTCTCGAAGATCGAATACACTGCCACTCACGAAGACGAGACTCAATGATATAGGCTACTCTTCTCACTGTACATTGAATAGCCTGGTACAGAGAGACCGTTGCGAAAATTTGTCTTCCGCAACATGGTATCACGGGTTTCATAACTTGGCTTAGCAGACAGAAGCCAAGTGAGGACATGTATGAGACGAACTAGGACATGGACAGGCGAGGAGACTTTCTACATGTAATATAGAATCGACCTAAGCAAGCCGCGGAAGAGAAGTAGGTAGCTGGGCGCTACTGCTAGGCTCTGTCTTGACTGAAGAAGCGTTGAAAACAATCACCTACTTCTATTCTTCGCTCAACTCCCACACTGAAGCATGTCCTGGCCTGGAAGTCGAGTGTATAGAGGATAATCCAACAAAGGCTAGAAGCCATATGTAGATTGTCGCCAGAGATCCCACGTGGAGTGACGGAAGCCCCCAAGAGCAGCGAAGTCACTGGGAGCTGGCCTACTCGCTCGCGGTGGAACGACCGCCTTTTGATTTGGCGCAAGGGCTTGCAATCATCGGGCGTTAGGTCCAGGGACTTTGGGCTGACAAGGCGCAAAGTCGGACTGATCGTGTCGTCGTTAGCGCCGGCTGGCGGTGTCCCCAAGTCTCACCAAGGTGTGTTGGTGTAAGACGATGAGTCCACATATAGTCCATGTCGAGACACTTTTACTTACCATTGGCGGGTTCAGTTTTGAACGGGACCAACCTCTCTACATACTCCTCATCCCCGTAGTGAAGGCAGATGAAGTCGTCTCGCCAGCTCACAATAGCACCCGCGTCGTGCTTTGCTACTCTACGCGGCATGCTGGCTGTCCATGTGCTGGCAGCCTCCTCGTTCTTGGCTGCCTGATCATACCGTATGACACGCTACGATGTTTGTAGCCCTCCCTTCTTCCCTCTCTCCCTCCGTCTATACATAGTTTGAATCCGTCGCGAGTTACCCAGCAGCTTACTGACAATCCTACGATGTTACCCACGAATCGATACTCTAGCTTAAGGTCCGCAAGCACAAGGCAGACTTGACACCCAGCGACGTCCCACGGAGAATCGGCATTTGGACCTCCAGGTCTTATGTCCGATCAACGGGGCGATTGCTCCCATCGCCAGGAGAAAACATGCAGTGGGCGACACGCTCCAGCTGATAGCGACCATTGTGCTCCGTCTAGGTTTAGCACTTGCCTAGCGCCACTTCTCCGGCCGGCTCGCCGTGGGCTAAGGGCAAGCAGTAGACTACCTAGTAAGTATAGTCAGTTAATACAAGCTTGGCTATAGAATGTCTGAGACTCATCGATCTCTCCAATCTCTACTCGTGGCCTACGAATCTTGACCTGCGTATCGCCGCGGCCAAAGTAGATTGGTAAGCCATCTAAGTCCTAGATCAAAATCAAGGGTTGCTAAATTGGCTTCGTGAAGTCCTCCCAGGTGAAACGTGCTAACTTAGCTTTTCTCTATAGTCCAATTGGTCCTGTTCAGAAACGGAGATAACGTGGTGCTTTAACTTTATCCTATCGTGAGTGTCTTTTCATTTTAAGACGAAAGGCACAAAGCACTAATACGCAGCTAGCTTCACTTAGCCGTCTCTCGTAGGAGAATTCAAGCCCGAAGGAGCCTTCGGGTGGTGCGCGGCATAGTGTCTTGTCCTATAGGTACTGGTATTACTTTTTATGCCAGAGACTAAAGCTTTAACACTGGAGGAGCTTGTAAGTCTGTCTCGTTTGGTGCGCTACCGAAAGACTGACATAGATCTGTGCAGGACCAAGTTTTCAGCGTGCCGACCTGGAAACATTTAAAATACTGGCTTAAGGCCGCTGTAAGATAGATCAAAAGATTTGTCCTCTTTTAAAAGAATGTGGCGCCGTGCCGCCTCTTTACCAAGGCACTAAGAACTTAAATAAGTCTTGATCTGTAGAGGAGGTCATAAATATCGAATTTAAGACAGTAGCGTCAAGGTCTTACTCGCTGTCGAGAGTTGGGTTGACAGTCGGATGTAAAGCACCCGCAAAGCAGAGCTCGTCATAACATGATTATAAGTGTGACGCAACATGAGACCGCGCAACGTGAAAAGAGGATGACATCCCATGCTCACACATCGTTAAAAGCGTGTTCTAATGCGACTACCTGTCGCAGTCAACTAATTCAAGAGGAACATCAACCAACCCTCTCCTCCCAAGCTTCATTAATCGCCTTCCTTAACCCCTCCAACCCCTCAGCACTCGCCTTAATTACAATCCCCTCCCTCTCAAATACCGTCGACCTCAAAGCAAGCAACGCCAAGACTCCCCTTCCACCGCCGGTCATATTCCAAAACGGTGTGCTTGCCACTCGGCCTGACAGAAATCCAATGCATAACCCTCTGTCCATACTTGAAGTCCTCGCGATACACAAATTTCCAATGGTCGTTGTGGACGACTTTGGCCTTTCGCACGCCGTCTTTGCGGCGAGGAGGTGTTAGTTCAAGGTATTCGTCCCGTTCGGAGAGGCTTGCGGAGAAGTAGTGGCCGTTGCGGGAGAGGCGCAGGGCGTCGAGGAAGGCGCTGCCGCCGGTCGCTTGCACCGAGCGGATGAAGTCGAAGTCGATTGCCTGGATGTGTTCAGTTAATGTCGCGAGGGGTGTCTCGATGTCGGTACCTTTTGCTTCACGAACTGCGGAGGAGCAGCCACGATGCAGCTGTCCGAGGTTTCAAAGCTGGCAATTTGCGGCGAGAAAAGTATAGCAAGGACGGCCGCGACGATGGCGAAGATTGTGAGTCGTGATGGCATAGTGGATAGGTCCGTCAATAAGTCACTCGAAGGAAGATGAGGTTCAGGCGAGGTGGCGTTGAGACTGCTGTCTACTGAAGCTGACATACTTGCAGGACTTCAACTCCCTTCCTTTTCCCTAGACACCGATAGCAGTCTGAGACCTTCAAACGGCGCTCTTGCGTGTATGTAAGATTATGGAGTGCGACGGAGTGGAGCGGTATCGTACGTCCAATAAGCTGAAGCTCGAACCTATCAGGCACATTTTAGAACTCCTCATCTTCTCTCATTAGTCGAAGAGTCTTTGTGGTGCAAAGGTGGTATCGATACATGGGCGGTGGGCGTAGGAGGAATCGTCAAGATTTCTGGTAACTCGTGTGAGACGTGCACTCCAAGATTCACAAGAAGCACAGGCTAAATTGGTCCACCGAAACGAGCAAGAAGTAGCTTGTGTCGAGTGCAGTATAGACGTCGATGCAATTTGGATCAGCGTCTCGCCTTTCTCTGAGAACGCGCAGCGACATCGGTGCCGAGCTGAACAAGACGGGTATGGATTAAACAATCTCAAGTACTGCAATGCCAATAGCTCCCTGAAGGCACAACTCGAGATGGGCCGATGGAGTATATGAAAAGCAGGGGAAGATCCAAGGGTGAAATTGGCCAAAGCGGTACGAATCATAACGTAATGTTGCCTGCAGCTAACTTGACGGTCTGGCATGACGTCAGGGAGACAAGCCTTTCCCCACAATCCTCCCTCATTCCGTCACTTGCATTCTTTGTTCGAGGGCTCACAATCCCGATCGGCTCTTGTGGAGAGCAACCGCGAAAGTATTAGCACTGATGATATAGCACACTATCTTTCCAATGGTGACGATAATGACAGTGCTAAATTTTGATGAGATCTTTTGAGTTTCAGCCAACCAAGAACCTGAATAGGTGGATGCAAGTTCTGGGAATGGGATAATCTAAAGCTGGGGAGAACTTTCTTGAGCTCTACACCCGCAGAACTCAGCTGATTACATTGTCGCGGTCCACGTCTTGGAGTGCTCGACATCGTCCAGAACTTACGTGAATGGTCTAGACCTAGACTAGGGAGTTTCTGAAAACATCCTCTCCGGGTAAAGGAGAACTGTCAAGTTCCGCCCGAACTATTGACATTAAGTCTCGCAAAATTTACGAAGTCTGAAAACAGTACTAATGCTTTAAGGCCCTCTACATGATGCTCAAAAAGCCTCCTAGCGCTCAGAAGAAATGAGGTAACCAGTCAACATTGATTCATTTCATGGCTCCCGATTTGAAAATCGATGGTTTGAAGTGGTGTCTGTCGCAGTAGGGAGCGACGCTGAACTTAAACGCTTGTACGATTCTTTTCCCACGGGGAATATGAAGACCGATACAGCGTTGGCGCTCCACGATTGCTCTGGTGGCAAGTCTGGGCACCTGTGATCTAACAAGACCAAGGACCGCTTCCGCCACAGGATAGCAATAAAGCCAGAGACTATTTCAGAAGAATTTTGTTTACCTATGGCTTCTAATGCTTGCACCACGTTTCCCATTCCCTAATAGTTAAAATTCTCGCAGATGTCTAGAGCTAGATCGGGTGTGAAAGCTTTTCGATCAATGTGTTTTTGCACGTGATCCCATCACATTATTATTATCAGTAATACGGCTCGGGTCATTCACAGAACCAAATCAGCAAGCTCTAAAGTATGGAATGCGTGGATAGAGCTCACTGACTTTCAGCTTCGTTTGAGTTATTCAAGTGTACTGAACTTCGCGCAGCCTCTCACCTAGTGACGTTGTATTCGACACTTTGGCATATGTCATACACACGTATCGAATATCTAAGTGATGGGCGACTATGTTTATCGTGTCTAAACATGTAGTGATATCTCCCTTTAGAGATTTGTGTAGAGCATGCAACCGTCTTGATGTGGTGCTCTTGCCCAAGTTTACCACCTTCATTTACACCAATGTCTTGCCCATCAGCTCGTGAGCTGGGGCAGAATGCTCCCAATGAAGTTGTTCTCTCGAAAACTCGCTTGAAAATGTGTTTAGTGGTTGTAGTAGACGCAAACGTATTGTTTAATTCGCCTTTATGTTGAGTCATCGCTGGGTCCACCTACTCAGTTTTGAATTCGATTAGGCGATCTCCGCTCTCCAACCATCTCCTATGAGACAATGAAACTGCAAGCTGCGATGCTTGGTGGATCGTCCAGAATGTTCTCGAAGGTGCCAGCGAAGAATATCTCGCGGCTGGAGAGCTGAGCAAAGGTGATATCGTTGATCAGGCTTTACATAAGCCACTCTTATCTCATGCAATATCGGACCTGTGCTATTCATTCCATAATTGCTGCGCAGCTCTTCCCTGGCGCAATCCAATCACTTACCTGTGTGGCTTGCCTTTCTGGGTCAGTCCGCCATTCTCCGCGTGTCGCCCGTGAAATGCCTCCTTTTCTGTCACAACGCTACGACCAGTTACGTCGACAGTATGGAGCTCTTTCCAGCACTTGTGTAGTTGATTCGCCAATCACAAACGCAAAATTTCTATCCAGAAACAAGGATTTAGCACTTGTAGCTGCCGGTTTCTCCGGTGGTCAAGTAAGCACATCCTCGATCGAGACGCACTTCGGTGGAAGAAAAAAGTTTAGAAGGCTGACCCAGTTTATAGGGCAAGTCCGGGGTCGACGCAGGCCCTACGGCTCTTATCGAGGCCGGTCTTGCAATACAACTCCGCGATCACCTTCGATATAATGTCCACTATGACGATAAAATCCATTACTGCAACGACATTGTGCCGGACTCTGACCCGGATCATCGCGGTATGAAGAATCCTCAGGCCACCTCTGTCGTAACTCAGAAACTCTCCTCGCACATCTTTTCCCATGCTAAGGAGGGGCGCTTCGTCGTGACACTAGGTGGCGACCACTCCATAGCTATCGGTACAATTTCGGGCACCGCCAAAGCCACAAGGGAGCGTCTCAATCGCGACATGGCTGTCATTTGGGTCGACGCCCATGCTGATATCAACACACCTGAGACGAGCGATAGCGGCAACATCCACGGTATGCCATTAGCTTTCCTAACAGGGTTGGCCTCCGAAAAGGGAGGCAAACCTTTCGGCTGGCTTAACTCGGAGGAACTACGCATCTCGACTACTAAGCTTGTGTATATTGGCTTGCGTGATGTTGACCACGGCGAAAAGCGCCTCCTGCGCGAGAACGGCATCGCGGCTTTCTCAATGCACGATGTCGACCAATATGGTATCGGCAAAGTCATGGATATGGCTCTGGCATGGATAGGGAACGATACACCCATCCATCTTAGTTTCGATATCGATGCACTGGATCCCATGTGGGCGCCTTCGACAGGAACGGCGGTCCGCCGAGGCCTTACGTTGCGAGAGGGTAGTTTCATCGCAGAGTGCGTGCATGACACGGGAAGCCTAATCGCCATGGATTTGGTAGAGGTCAATCCAAGTTTGGAGCAGGAGGGTGCCGAGAAAACCGTTGAGGCTGCCATTTCCATTGTGCGTTGTGCTCTAGGTGAAACCTTATTATGAGTTAATAGTCGGTCATGTAGAATGTTTCTGTCGAGCAGTGCTCAGGAATCTAGGACCCCAGAGTTGGAGCTTAGTATAGACGAGCATAGCGTTCGAAGCGGGCTGCTCTCCACATATTTATCAACTACGACAGCTAGATTCGCCGGCGTTAAATATGTTATAGAAGTTATTGTTGAAACTAAAGCCTCCGACTACGTCACTGCTCGAAAACTGTCCCAAGATGATGACGAAGGGATACTGCACCCTGTTGTCTTCTTCTCTACGAATTATTCGCCTGCTGAGTGCATTTACTAGATCTACGGCAAATAACTGCTTCCTGTCGTTTGCGCGTTTAGGAAATGGCGCCCTGAACTTAAAGGTTCTAACTACCCTATCTACCGATCTATTCACCACTGCAATCTAGAGTACATTGCAGCTACAAAGCAGCTGAACCGCCGACAGCCCGTCGGTCTCAGTATCTGTCTCGGTCCAATTTCGTAATCAGTTACCGTCCGGGGAATTACCAGGGGAGAAGCGACGCTCTGACTAGGAGATCGAAAGATATACCTAAAGACGAGATAATGCCGGGATTGCAGAGAGTAATCGGCTATCAAAGTCTAGGTCGACCTCAAGGCAGCGACCTTAAGGAGCATGACAGAGGGAGATACCCCCGTGTGCAGCAGTAATGGCTGCAGCAGTCCTGAAGAGGTGAGGATCAACCGCAGGGCCGATTTGACTAAAACGCTAAGCTTAAGACCTAGTGTTCCAGATTGGGGAATTCAGCCGGCTTCGGAGGCACCAACTTCGCACACAATATCTCAGCAATCACAGCATCTATTCATTCCAACCTAAACCTGAGACGATCGCAATCAATTGAAGTGTCACACTGGCAGACTAGGTCTCTATAAACTCACAGTTCGACGATGTTCTAATGCATAAGGGGAAGAATGCTACATTCATTCACTGGAAGGTAACTATCCTACCTCATTGTTTACGCGGCGTTGAAAGTCACGCGGGCGAGCGGAGCTGCAATCGTAGCTGGCTATCTGAGCCAGCAGCCGCTTCCTCCAATTGCTGCTCCTTTCTTTGTTCTTTGTAGCTCATCTTGTATCCTAACCCTTTGTTCAGCTTTGTGCGTCACACTGTACGTCTCACTGCTCCTTGCGGCACCACACGGCTGGCACGCCTGACGTTCATATACATGAACACGACACCCGCTTGTTATACGGGCAAGAGAAAAAAAAGCATTGCGGGTCCCATTCGCCTATAGGGATAGGATTGAGCTGCGGCATGGTTAGATGCGGCAACTGTATTGGCTGCTAGCAGGGGCCGGGGGCGCGAGAAGAGGTAGCTGCGTTTCTTGTTGACTGAGACTCTTCTCACACCTTCTCCAAGACAACGTAGCGAACCTGCAGCAAGCAGGCAGTATGGGCTACACATGTCCATGCCTCTAAATATAGGGATATAATAAATAATTAGAGGTCATACTAACAGCAATTTTCAACATTTCTAGCATTACTTTGCCTTAAGCTAGAATTGGCAGGGTCGCCCCCGTGATGCTGGCTAAGATGTATAGACGGGCGTTGTAGAGCCTCGCGGAGGGTAGCATAATACTCTGGCCGTCTCTAGGATTAGTAAATGTTCTCCCGCCTAAGGCAATATCTGTTCTATCTTCTAGAGAAGTGTCCCTTTTAAGATTATTAATGTAGTTTGGTCTCCTATCTACTAGTCCTTCGTCCTCGTCTACAATCTTAAAGTTTAGCTGGTTAAAACTCTGTCGTCGTTAGGAACCTGCGAGAGATGTACAAGCTAATGAAAATGTCGCGATATCTACGACGGTTTGCCTTGAGAAAGTCTTACTACTTTATACTATTTTTTTGTCGGACAGCACACCGACGATTAAATGTACTAAGCCCGCTAGTCTCTAGATCTAGTAGACGAAGAAATGATATATCGATCTTGTTAGGGATGTGCGGGAGTCGTTCTGCAACCTTTGTAGTATCGCTTAAAAAGTTCGCAACGTAGCTAGAGTACTTATACTGCACTCCGCGTATCTAGAGAACATCAATTGTAGGTCAAACTCGAGCAATACGAATCTGCTCTACTTCGCTAAGAATAGGTGGCATATAGCCAGCATCTGCAACTAGCCCTAAACTCTATGTTGTTTTCATAGCGCCCTTCGATTTATCTCCTCTAGCCGCCTCGTACTTGCCCTAATAACGCAGCATCCTTGCAAGATTGCTTACGCTTGTTAGCGTGCTCCAAACCGAGCAAATTCTCCCTGTTTGTCAGCGCCCGTCGCTTTATCTCCTCCACCGCCTCTTACTTGCCCTGGATGAGTTGGCTATGTCCAACCGCGCGATGGTATCGTCTCTACTGTCCTCATACCAGGGGCAGTGAAGCAGCAGTATTTAAGCCCACGAGAAGAGAAGGTCCTCGTCAAGTACCTGCTACGCATGTCTGAACGTCATTTTCCTGTGCCCGCCAAATCCCTCCGTCTAGTAGCACGTATAATTCGGCGACAACGCTCGTCTGCTTCCCAAATCCCCGCAGCAGACGACAATACGAAGTTGCCGGGGAAGAATTGGCCCCAAGGTTTCTATAAATGTCATCCCGAGTTGGAGACTCGAAAGACTAGAGCAATATCTTGGGCTCGACACGAAGTTGACATCGCTAAAAAGGTCTCTGATTGGTTCAGAAAAATTGGCAGCGAGTTAACTCAGCATGAAGTACGTCAAGAGAATTGTTATAACATGGATGAGACCGGTCTCCTCTTCAGTGTCTTCAAATCACTAAAGGTACTCATTGGGAGTGCCGACCTAAGAAGTCACAGAGGAACTGAGACGCAGCGAACATTAGTCACAGCTATAGAGTGTATTTCTGGCGATAGTAGATCAGTAGACCTACTGATCGTGTGGCCTGCTGCAGCTCATCGGAGTAACTGGACTACTTACCCCACCTCCGAATTACACTCTGCTTGCTCTCCAACAGGATACACAAATTCCGAAAACAGCCTCTACTGGATTAAAGCTGTCTTCCATCCCCTTACACGCGAGCGCGCACACGGCAGGCCTCGTATCTTGATCTGTGATGGATTTGCCACTCACAAGTCCCTTAAGTGTTGATATACTGTTTTGAGAGCAATATCACCTTATGCCGTCTGCTATGGCACACTTCGCACGAATTGCAATCCTGCGACGTCGGTGTTTTGGACCTCCGGAGGCCGCGTACAGTAAGGAAGTAAAACATCAGCATGAGGGCGGCGCCGAAACTATTGGGAAGCAGCAGTTTACGCTCTTATACAGCCGTGCACGTCAAGCTGCATTTTCGGCACGCAAAATCCGTGCTGGCTGGTGGAAGGCCGGCGTCTTCCCTTTCAATTTTAAGAGGGTCCTGCAAGATATGCCGAAGCAGGTAGCGGAGACCGAGACTGCCCTAGGCGTACTTAACGTAGAAGCGGACGCGGATACCAGTGCACATTCCTTGCGTACACCCACTCCGGCGACGAGTCTGTACGCATTGCGGCGCCAGCTTGAAGGTCGTGTGGACAGCCTCGACAAGGATTCGAAAAATGCATTCAAAAGTAGGCAAATGCAGCAGACAAGCATGTTGAAGCTTGGCAGCGCCACATTTGCCACTCACTGGGGTATATAGGTCAGGCATGCTCCCACTTGATAGATCCATCAATCAACTCACCTTTGTTTAACAGGTTATGAGCCCGGCTTGGCGCTCTA